TTGCCCTAGGTGAGGAGGAGCTGGGCTTGGGCCAATGGCTTTGCTTACCTCCTACTGTTCTTTGACCCCCAACAAGAGAAAGGAAGATCCTGAAACTCTCCATCCAATATGTCTTGGTATTAAGTAGGCTCACTCTTCACAGGATATCAAGCTTTCAGTGACCATCCTCCAAACCTAGCTACCAGTATCACTCCAGGTTCACAGCACTTGCCAGCTGTGGCATCATCCTATTCAACTACAAATGCCAATGAAGCCCTTCATCCTCTACTGTACTTCAAGCTCTTCTGCTCCTCTGCTTCTCCAGAGTCCCTTTGCATTTCAGTGTTATCTAGGATTTGGGGAGCAAGTTATCTTGGAAAATTACAGGGTAAAACAATAACAGGATAGGTCTAGGATGAATAGGAAAACAAGCTGGGAATAGGAAAGACCATATTTACTCTAGAGGGGATGAGAATCATGGGCGTACAGTCTAACTCATCAATAATTAACGTGGAAGAGAAAGTCTCAGCAATGTCCCTATTTAAGTATGTCTGTATCAGCATTTTTCTCTGTAACTCTCACCATTTTGCTGCTTCGCTACTGACAAGTAGTGATTTAGATGTCAAAAGTCGTAAGTTGGTAACTTGAAATTTAACATTGGCTGCCAGTCAGTGTTAGTACTGGTTATAAAGAGTAGCAGATCTGAAAAAAATTATTGGTATTAGCAAAAGTAATGACTTAAAATACAGTAAGTATTTGTAAACGTAGAAAACCAAGAAATGAAAACTCAGCTTTCAAGTAAATAGTATCTCATGTCTAATAAGAACAGCAAAGACAGAATCATGTTGCTTAGACAATGAATATAGATGGATGGTTCATCTCTTAATCAGCTGGAACAGGTTCTGATTATTTTTCTAATCATAACAATTCTGTTTGATACAAAGAAGCATATTTCAAGTCTTTCAAATTCATTTATAGTTTTTCATGACAGCAGCTACTTCAGTTTTTGTTCTTTCAGGGGAGGGGAAACCCATGAAAAACTAGAGTTCTAACTCTGAAAATATCTGCCCCTTAATATTTAATAATGAAATGAAAAAAACTAGCGGCCTTTCATTTCTTTTTGCTTTATCAGTCTTAGAGGGGATTATGGATTCAGCCCTTCAGCAAGGTAGAAACATTAGTACTCCTTCTCCTTGCAGCTGTTAATATTCTGGGCAAGTGTACAGCCCGAAGAAAATCCAGCAGCTTAAAATAAATTACTGAACAGCTAAAGTCATAATTTTTGCCATTCTCTAACTCAGAACTGTAGATTTATTTTTCACTTCAAAATTTTAAAATAATTCCTCATGACAGGACTTTTGTGCAATGAAGACTGTGTATTATTTTTTATTTAATTTTTATGGCCATGTTATAACTCCCTGTAAATAGGCTCATAACATAAAATTCTACTTCTCTTCCTTTCTAGATGGAAACTGCTCTATGTATTTTAAGGTTAATGTTGTGAAAAGCAGGAAGTTTCTTGTTATTACACATCTCTATTTCTGCAGTCTGTTGTCAAAAATTACTTCCTTTTGAACAGAGTTGCAGTGTGTTCATGAATTGCAAACCATTGCAAGAAACGTGTGATCATTTGAGCTGAAGTGGCAGTTTTCACACTGTTGGAGTTGTTACAGCATCTAATTTTAGACCTACAATGAAACTGTCTGGATTACCCAGAGGGGGACACTATTTCAGTGCATTAATGAGGTTATACACAAAGAGATTTTGTTACAATAAGAGATAGATATTCATTAGATCACTAATGTGATTACAGAACGTGCTATAAAGGAAGTACCATTGGGAACTATGGGGAAGATGATTTTGCAAATTTTAAACAAAATGTAAAAGCAAAACATCATTATTAAATCTGCTAACTTTACTATGCTATTCTTATTAGTAAATATGCACAGTTTAAAACGAAAACATAAAATACTATATTTTGGCTTAGGGCAAAACTGTCATCCTCCTAAGGCAAAACATTTTTTAAAACAACGTATTTTCAGTTTATTTTAATCTAGCCTAATTACTGAGAAATTAAATTCCCATTCTGAAAATCTATGCCTCTGACAATATATTCTTATTTTTTCTGGTGTGTTTTTGTTTGGGTTTTTTATGGGTCTGTCTGGTTTGGGTTTTTTTCAAAAAAAAGAGGAGAATTCTTCAAATATAATTTGCGGATAACATTTCAAATACAATAACAGCAATGCATTATACAATACAGGAAATAAACACACATCTTTCCACCCTGACCACAGAATTGTCTGTACTTCTAAGAAATGTGAAATAAAAGTCTACAGTCTATAGGGTTATCACTCTTCTGCAGTCATTTTCATTACTCATTAGCAAATACTTTCATGTGTTCTGAAACCAAAGTCAGTGCACAGCCTTAGAGCCAGTGCAACATAGAGACAGAAAGGACCTAGAAGAGATCATCTCATTCATCCATGTGCATTGAGGCTTCATATTGGTCCTGTTCATGTTTGCATGGGATTAATAGGTTTTTCAACAGTAATATACAGAGCACGTTAATCAACTGCAAATTTTACTAGTAATACTATGATGAAAAAGCCTACCAATAGAAGACAAGGAAAGTTCTCTCCCAGCAGTCTGGTAGGCTGCAGAGAAGACTGGAAGATCTACACCTAGGATCTAGATATAGGATCTACAGAGAAATTAAATTCTTATTATAGGTACTGGTAAGGTTTCCTGAAAGTTTCTGAAAATCCATACTGAAGTGATTTCAAAAGTAAGCAAACTTTTTTTTTTTAGTATAACGGTACCTCAAAAAGTAGAGGGTATTTTATATCTTCTAGAATTGCTGCAAAGTTTCAGTATAATAATGAAATTATATTTATGTTCAAGGAGAGAAACATCACACAAAAAAGCCAAGTGTAATTAGCTCTTAAACACAAAGCTGACAAGCAGAAGACTAACTGCTCAATTTATTTTCTTCTTATTGATCAATTAAGGGCATGAGATTAAATATTGAATTCTCCATATTTGCAGTGTTTTCTGCATGACAGAATTTGTAATTATTTCTTCTTTTGTGTCCTTAAAAACTATGAGGTTTCATTTATATGCAGTCTAGGTTTCCTATACTTACTTCACTATGCCCTAAATGATAGACTAAATCACAATTACAGAAGGGAAAAATTGATTCTAAGATTTTTACATTTTCAAGTTTAACTCATATTGATTTTTGAGAGATTATTAAGAGAGAGAAACATGTAGAGCTTGAGGAAAATAAATAAATATGTAAGTCAATGGGGCATGGAACAACCATCTATTTGAGGGCTATACATATCAACAAGCGAGAGCAACTACTGAAAGTGACATAAGAAATTATAAATATGGTAAGATAGGTAGAAACAGCAAACCAGAGAAAATAATTTTAACTCAATATATTAAAGTGATGATTAGTTCAGAATTTAAGACCTCCATTACTTCCAGAAAATAAAGTTCACGAAGAACTGAATGCCTCAAAACAGGGTTATGCAGCCACACAGCCCAACGAATGCACAGAACTACTGTTGGTAGCTCCACAGAATTTAAGCTTAGGCAGGCCCGAGTCTTTTTGAAGGGCAGGGAGTGTACGTATCTTGCGAGACCACTAGAGTTCACAAAGAATCTAGTCATACTTAAAGAGATTAGAGCATAAAACATTTTAATCGAGTGGATCCTAAATGTTAAAATTATCATTCTGTTGTTCAAACTCTTCCAACCTTAACAGGAGATGTTTAATACAGCAACGGGTAAAGGATACAAAATGTAACAAACCTAGCTGAAATACCTTTCATATAGTCAATCAAGCACGTGTATGTATGTAAAGAACAACACATACACGTTACCAGAGAAAATCCCTCACTTTTGCAAAATCTTTAACAAAATATTTCCTTACCCTTATGTTAAAATCAGCAGATTTTAAATAAGTATTTTAAACATACCAGAACCTGTAGAAATACAGAACAAAGCAAAACCTAATGGTAATTTGCAGCCATGCTTCTGAAATACAAAGGCAAGTAAGAATCTAATCAGTACATGCTAACCATATAATTATCCTATCCTTTAATTAAAAACTTATAAAACATTTCCAGGTGGTATAGGCCAAGTAAAGCTTGGCTTCTAATTTTCTGTTCTTTAGAGTTAATAGAATTTAAATTTATGACTAGTTTAACTTTAAAGAAACATTTGCATCTCCATGTTTTACTACTTGTCATATATAGTAACTTAAAAAAATTCATAAAAAATAGATTAAAAGAATTTATAAAGATGAAATATTATATAGTTGAAATTCAGTCACTTTGTTTTAGGTAATTCAGTGAACATTTCCAAAAAGCCTTTGCCAATAGCTGGTTAAAATAAACCCATCAAAAGCGGACTTAGCAACAACTATAATGACAAAAGTTAAAAAAGGAATCACATTCTTCCCCAAAATAGAAGATGACAGACAGTGCTAAAGATAGTAAAAGGGCCACAGGTATTCATACCACAATACACCTGAAAACCTATATTTAAATGAAAAACACAAAAAATTTGGATCTGGAAAAGAACACTGTGAATCTGAAATGCCTCTAATGAAACAACCTGGAAAGGATAGTGTGATATGCCACAGGGAAATTCTCATACTCCATTTCAATGGCTTTATACTGAATAAAAGGCTGAGGCAGCCTCTAAAAACCCTGTCCAGCTCAAGAAGCATTCTTCTACTACAAGCTCTTACAGAGCCAACACAAATCTCTGGCACGGTATGACGATCTTGAGCTGATGGGATGCATCAGGGCCACAATACAGCACTCTGTGGAGATTTCAATGCAGCACTGTGATATCTGGTAAACCCCAGAAAAGACTGAATTTAAGCAGACAGACTTCAGAGATGTTTAGAGATCATCAGGGACCATTCTCACTCGTAAATCCCTCAGGATCACGTTAAAATAAATCTAAACCCTTGAGAACAACTCAGAAGGCTCAAAACCAAGAAAATAATATTAAAAGGCATCACTCACTGCAAACTAATTTGAAGTTTACTGACTTTTCTAAGGGTAGCACTACTTGTTGTTTCAAAACTTGAATACCATCCTTTCCCTACACAATAATCACTAGTCCATTCTAAAGGGCTAAAATTTGGCTATACCTATGTATCTGAACTGACAATCTGCAACCTGCCCCTCATCCTATGCTTGGGACAGAATTACTCTGATGCCACTAGTAACCTGAAAGTCACTGTGACCTATAATTTCTTAAAAATTGTTAGAGTCCTTCTTTTGTACTAGGTGGGAGCTTACAAACAATGAAAAGCTAGCAAACAGAGCTCTAAGATGTTGAATTCAGTTGAATAATTCCAACTTCAGCAACATTCCAAAAGGCTTATAAACAAGCAAATTCTCACCAGTTGAATAAGCAGGCTAATTAGGTCCATCAGGGGTTTATTGATAAGCAGAAGGTCTTCAGCAGCCTGCGTGTCCCCTCCTGTGCCAGATTTCTGTGCCTTAATAAGATGAGAAAAAATAAAAAGCAACCTTGGTGGCTGTTCTGTTATGAGCAACAAATTAGATCCATTAGGTGGTCGAAGTTTGAAGGAGACTCTTTTCTAGTTAAGTATCCCTGGGCTCCCAATGAACAGTCACGCTCCCTGTGTCTGTAACAATAAGCACAAAGCAAAAAGGACTCATGCTGTCATGCCCATTCTGCACAAGCTGAATATACTGACCTACATGACATTTCTTGAGCAAAAGATCTCTCTAAAGCCATAAATATTTTATGCATTTGTATTCTCTTTCAACACAACATGCCTATTCTAACATTAAAGTTCCAGTTGGTTTTTTTCCCTTTATCAGGAACAATTTAAGTGCAACTCAAAACAAGAAACTCAAGGTAACTGAAAAGTTAGGATTCTCAGTAATAATGTCCAGTTCTGCCTTTCTGACTCACTTTGTATCCTGAAATATTAATAATGTATTATAACTTAAATTATTTTTGATATAGGAATAATAAAATCTTCAAGTGACCAACGCCGGTGATAAGATCTGCTACTACTAGTAATTCTGACCATTGTCATCCCCTCCTCATTAAAACACACTGCCATCCTAGGCAGTGCTATTTATGACCCACCCCTGCTCCAAGACACCAGAAAGGTCAGTTTGCAAGATTTTTCATCTAACTTCATTATCTTGCACCAGCCTTGGACCATGACCCTATACAGTCAAGCTGCTAGAGGAAAATGTAAAACTTTTGGCTAAAGAACACATTTAAAAATAATTTTGCATTTGTGTTTCATTTAAGCCTAAAACCATCATCCAAGTGTAATACCTGAGGACTTCTGTTTGGGTAAGTAAACATAGGAGCAAGTTCCCTGAGACAGAGGACACTACCATTGAAGCTCCACTGTTGATACTGAATCAACATTTTGAAATACAAGAGATCTGAAGAGCTGTTTCTCCAGGTGATAAGACACATTGATATGTTCCTCACTGAGACTCACCACAATGACCTGGAATGCTGAAGTCCAAGGGCAAAAAGACATAGTGCAGATCAACCAACTGATGTATTCATCATGTAAAGCCAGAGTAGAATTTGGCTTTGAACGTATAGATTTAATTTCATATCTAAATAAAAATAATCCATTTCACTAACATTACCAATCCATGTGCAAGATCCTCTTTCCTCATATGTGTCATCCAGTATAATTGGCCTCACCACTGTTGCATGGAGCTTAAGTACAGGATTTAGCTCTCTGTGATTACATGGAGTGATGCCAACAACATAACAATCAGCGATTAGCCAACAAAATTTGATTTGCAAAGCAATTCTTAGACAAGAAACCTATTCCAGAACCTGCTAACAGATGACTCAAAAAAGACATGGTATTTTACCATGAGATATAAATTACGTTTTTTCCAAGAATTAAAAAAAAAAAACATCTCTCAGTGAAATATCTCATTGATAACATAACTGATTACTTAAGTCTGTATAGGAGAAAAAAAAGGGCTCAATTTTCAACATCCACTTCATACAGTAAACCTTCTTAAAAAAAAGGAAAAAACCCTGCTGTAACAAAAAAAAAAAAAAAAACCAACCAAACCCCAAACCAAAAAAACAACCAACCCACAGAGGAGGACCTTTTCAGAATTAAGCAGCCATGTCCTGAAAGATAATACAACCTGGCTGCAATCTTTAGAATCTCTGTCCTCCAGATATATTGGACCTAATAGGCTTCTCTGTTCTTCAGCAGATAATCCCAAGAACATTGAAAACCTAACACAAAGAGTACGTGTTGTTGTTTGCAGCATAAATACAGAAGTTACTTCCACTTGACTAACTTAGAAATTTGGCAGATCATTTAAAAATAAAGCAAATACTGCTAGCTTAACATCACATATAGAAAAAGGTGAACGCTTTTTCTTGTTTTGTTTTTAAGAGAGTTATGTGCAATTTCTTTGAATAGTATCTTTTTGTGCTTAATTTCTAAGGCAGAGGATGTCTTCACTGGAGCAGGAAGTCCTACCAATGCCATGATTTCAGTGGTTCAAACAGAAACTTGGAAGACAAATTGAGAAGCATAAGAGAGGAAATACTTCTGTCAGTGCACATGCAAAGGCTACATGTGTAATTCAAGTAATCACATGTGATTTATAATAAAAAACGTTTTTTATGGAGTACTGTTTTTCTTTTAAACTGAATGGAAGAAAAATGCTTTGAACTATCATCGGCCAAATGTTGAATTCAGCTACTTACAGAGTACAGAAACAGAACAGACAACTAGGATCTGTGTTTCCGGCACACAGTGAGGTTAGTATAGATAGTCTAGCCAGGTAACTACATGAAACAGTGACAGGAAGTTGAAAAATAGACGCTTTTCTCTTTCCACCACACTAAAAATTCAATAAAATCAGAATAATGGGAATTTCATTATTAGGGTAACAGGAAGTTACCTAAAAAATTAAGACGGTGATGACCCTAGGAAATAAATTCCATACCTGTAAAGTTCGGCGCACAATGTTTGCTGTGTAGATCAGCATGCAGTGCAAAATATCAAGCAAGGACAGAAGCAGTGCATTTGCTGTCTTGATGCTGCTTTTATCATCTGCCTTCAAGTACAGAGCCACAGTTTCTATTAGGAGATTACAGATATGATGAGCCAGTCCTACACAGAAAGTGAGAAAAAAAAAAAAAAGTAGGCTATCAGGAAAAGAACAACACTGAAGTAAAAAATAATATATTACAATATGACAATAAAACCAAATTTCACATACATTATGAATATTTATTAAATTTCCTCTTTTACTCCATCATTGTAATTATCTCCTCTCCTATTGTGTTTGGAGCAGCTCATAAAGAGAGTTAAACTAATATAATTAAATTTTCTAACTACATGGAAAATTATGTAACATTCATTAAAGACATACTTTGAATCCTAAACTTTTCTGTAGCATGCTGGTATACAAGTCTCCTTCACAACACTCCTGGTCACAAGAAGTAAGCAATTTCTCCAGGCTGTTACAAAACGACACATGAAGGTCAGAGCCTAAAGTTTTCTTTCTTAACTGGTCTGTCAATTACAACCTGTCCTATATGCTTTAAGTATAGAATTGAACAGTATTATGCTTAAATAAAATATATTCAGAAGAGCATTATAAATGAAATACTGACTATTACACCTAAAATTACACCTAAGATTTGTTTGGCTGACGGTAGTGAAGTGTTTCCTGAAAATACCTTTTTGTTTTGAAGCTTTTTTCCTAAGCTCCTTTGGAATTTAGTAACATCAGCTCCTGTAGCTTGCTTAACACACAAATCAATTGACATATCAGAAAAGATATCCATTTCAAAACAACACTGATTCAATCCAGAACCTTTCTTACTTTCAAATACAAATACTGAGTTCATTATATTTGATCTTAACCTTTTTCTTTCAGAGTTTCACAAGGAATGAAAGATATCTTGTTTGTCACCAAGAACATAATTACCTTTGTAAACTGTCTTCTTTTAAACTGGCAATTAGCCATACTGTGACTTGTGGTGCATGTATGTAGTACCACTGTAGTATATTAGTATATTAGCTTCTAGTCCCCATGACTATCAAACATGACTGAAGTATTTCACTGATTTCACTGCTTTTATAAGTTCTCCTTTAAAAAGTAGTTGTATATATTTTTACAAACATTGGTACAAGATTATAATAAGAAATTGTAGAATACAATATGTAATTACACTGTTCAGCTTTTGAAAGCAGTCAAATCTGTGGGGTGTTGAAATATTTTGGCATTGAAAGATGCCCCATGAATTAACTAAACTTCCATGAAATATTTTACTCCCCTATTCATCACTCTTAATACTTTCCTTAGGAAATTAAACACAAAACCATTTATTTAGAATACAGTAATGGGTCAGGATTATTAAGACTTGTACTTTTCTTATAGCTCACATCTTTTGTGTTTTGATGATTACTAGCATTACTCTTTCACAACAGTATGATTGATGGACTACAGCTCAGGCTATGCTTTGAATTTCCTGGAATTTCATCTGCATAAACCAAACTCTCAAAATTATATCTGTCTGATCTTGCACATTTAATTTCCTTCTCCTTTTCTGAAGTACAATTTCTGCTGCAGTTCTGAATGCTTCATACAAAAGTGAGATAGCATGCACAAACACATTTAAGTGATGTCACCGGTACCCACCAAGCAGAAAAAGAACAGACATAATTGTACATCTACCCAATACAAAACTGGTGGTTATCCTATGCCCTTTTTCATCAGGCTAAACTAGATTAAAGCTAAGAAAACAGTCCACTAAGAGCTGGTCCCTATCAAAGCAATGTCTGCAAAACTGCCTGAGGGATATGTCCAAGTACACTGTGTTTCTCCCTGTACATGACCACAAAACCCACAGCCACATCAAAATCAATGAGTCACCCTGTTATTTCTAGTTGGTTTACATATAACCCTTAAGACAGTGACTTGGAGATTAACATCAAGAAGGGCACTTTCAAATGAAGGCATTGTATGGGTCATCATCGAGAACTTTTTAGGTAGTAGCCCTCTCTGCATTTATAGCACTAAGGAGAGAATGACTATTAGTGAACGAAACAAGAGGCTTTGTGACTGATCTGCAATCCTTTTCCTTCCAACTTCGAAGAAAATTACTTGTTTATGCCCTGGACTGCACCAGTCGGAGTCTCACAACTGCCTCATTTCTGCTGTTTGGTGAATGGGATGGTGAACCACATGCTCAACCTTCTCCCCATCGATTGAAACATCAATAATATAATCACCTAGATTTTATTCTCTTGAATTATTTACATCCTAAGGGTATGCGTATTAGCAACCCTGACACTAAATACCTTAAATACACCAGAACATTCACATTTACTTAGTTAACTAAAACATCAGAATTAGTGTATTTTATATAGGTAGATATGTGCTCACATAGACTTATATATACAAAGATACACACATTAAATTTGGGAATTTGGGGAAAAAACACATATTTTCCTGGCCTTAAAATACCTTTGGAAAACTTAACACACCAAAACTTCATTACAAAAGACAACTAAAATGAAACACTAGTGCAAAATGTTCCCTAACATGCTGCATGATTCACACATAAACCTGATAAAAACTTGGTTCCACAGACAAAAAAAAAAATAAAGCAGGCTGACCTCTCGGCCAAGTAAAGTTCCAGACATGCTCCTTGAAATACTTTATTGTGTCACAACAAAATGGAAATTGGAGGCCGCAACTGTAGAGACATAAATATACTCCTTTGCCACAAGACAAAATACACATTCTTTGTCCTCAGAAAAGAAAGTTGGGAAGCTGGTATAATTTACAGTGATCATGACAAAATTCAATAGAAGTTTAACAGCCTTGACCACTGGCACTGTAACCAGTTTACTCAAAACGTAGATACAAAGATCAAGACGGACAAGTCTCAGCATTCCAAAAATTCATTCCCAAAACAGATAGGCTGAAAAGGAGGATGCAATTTTAAGAAAAAAGGAAACTGTATTAATAATTCAGTAAACAATATAAAAATTGCATACGGATCTCTAAGTTTCAGAGCATACATTGAAGGTTTTCTCCCAAATTTTACAGCTGATACAAGAACCACATTCTTCTTAATTTCCAATAAAGTCTAAAACAATATTTATCTTTAAAAACTTCAGAAAAACGTATTTTTGAGTCATTTCACAGACTTAAGTTTCTTATGCAGTAATTTTCAACTTTTCATTAGGAAGTAAAATAGGCTCTGATTTGAAAGGCATATGCCATGCACTCCTGAACTTTGGAAGTGGTGGATCTGAATCTGGATTCTGTATCACAAAGGAAAGCTAAACCAAATTAAATCAAGGAAGACTGTTCTACCGAGAAAAGCTACATATTTTTAAAGATTCGGTACTTCCAAGTATGTTAGCAATAGTCCGGGGTTTTGTCAAAAGAAAAGTAAGTGACAGTTTACATGGGTTAAAGTAATGCATTCTAATATCTTTCAGCTAGGCATTTCTTATTAAGAGAAGTAAAAATATATTATTTAACTTACTATATTTTTTTTCTGCTCTCTTAATTTACAAATTTCAGCAAACAATTAAAACACATAATTTACAGCTATAGTTATAGTTTATTGCAATACCTCTTAGTGCACTAGTCATGCCTTAGATTTATTTGTAAAAGGAGGATCTTCGAAATATCAAGCTTCAGTGCAGTTCTCTGCTATTTGAATTTTACAGAAAAATAAGGCAAAAATTGGATTTTGTATTAGAATTATTGTGTTTACAAGTTAACATAACTAGAATTAAACAAAGAAACTGTTCTAATTGCAGTTCAAGATTCATAATACGTATTAAAAGGATTGCATCCAAAATTCCTAGGCAGTTTCACAGCATTTGACAAACCCAGTGTTCACAGCAGAGTATTTCTCCTGGCCAGAGACCCCTGCAATGAACTGAATACGTCACTAATAGTGCTTTATCAATGTGGACTGTGATGACTATGCTTGTGTTTCACAAATCTTTTCAAAAGATAAAAGGAGTCTTTTGGCCCATGATATAGCTAATCGGACAGAATGTGCCATGATACCTTCTGGAATGAAAGCTGAGAGGAGATATTTTATTCTCACCTATTAGCAAGATGGATAAAGGAAAAGAAGACTTCGCTTCCAAATCATACGAAACATCAAAGGACAGCCTAGGAAGCAATCTTCTAGGCAATCCTTTCATGCCTACCAGCAATTAGAGCATTCAACAAACCTGTCTGCTTCCAGCCAAAGAAAATGTTCGAGCAGGTGCACTTCCTCTGAACAATACCACTGCGCAGCCAAGCAGCCAACAGCAAAACCCTCAGCCCAGCAAAAAGGTTGCTCTTTGTTCCTTTCTACATGATGCTCTCTGGAGAGCTGTTTGTCCCATTTGTATCACACCTACATAACTGAGTCCCCAGGAATATTACCAAATACATATCCACTAGACTTTTTTCCTTCTGTCACTTACAGAGTGGACCTGCTTGGGGTTTTTGTGTTTTGTTTTTTTAAAAAAACCTACTCAAAATAATAACATATTGGGAACTAGAAATGATACCACCAGGCTAACTGGAAAACGTATTTCATGATCTTTCTAATGTTAATGATAAAACTCAAAAGTATTGCTAAGAACAAACACAGGACTGTAGTCTGATAGATTCTTTCACACAGGAATTAGCTCCTCAGTACTTGAGCACTTAAGATAATCCATTAAGTCATAAAGTTTCTCCATAAAACCTTACTTACCTACAGAAACCTGGGATTTAATTTGCATTCTTTGCATCACAGCCCTACTACTCAAGGTTTCCTGTTTTGAACAACAGAAAATAGGCCACATAAATGAAATGGTATCTTCAGGGTAATGACATTTTCAAAAGAGGCTCGTTGCTTCCATTGTTATTTTTGTTTATTATTTGTTACCTTTTATGGTTTAGGAACTATTTGTGTTCATACTATAATATTATTGAGAGAAGAATAAACTAGGATAAAGAAATAGATCACCACTGATTCCAAGACTTGGTGAATTATGAATGCCAGATCAAATGGAAAGAAAATAATGGGGCTGTTGAACATACCAATGGAATGACTGCTGCCCTGAAATTATTTTCTATTCTGAACTTAAAAATG